ACTCAATAGTTCCAAAGTATCATTTCAACTTTTAAGGAGTAGAAAATTATTAATGAGCTTTTGTGTTCATTTTTTTTTTCATATCAAGTCTGCATAATCTAGTGTGTATTTTATGCTTAACACAGCACCTCTCCATTTGGACTAGCCACATTTCAGGTGCTCAATAGCGACATGTGGCTGATGGCTACCACACTGGGCAGCACAGGTCCACACTGTGCATGGGTAGAACTAACATTAATCTAAAAGATATGAGGTGTGTGGCTTTAAGGCTGGCAGGGGGTGGCGGATAGCTATATTATGGCAGGATAGAGTCACCATAGCATCTGACATTACTCTCTTCCTAATAAAAAGCCACAGAAGTTTGTAAAAACCCCACTGGGGCTAATGGGAGAACTTCAGGAGCAGCTGCAGAGAGAAGAAATGGAGATGTGTTTTTTGTTAGATCCTGAGTATTTCAGGTGGAGACTGTCTAGGGAGTAATAATGGAGGCATGTGCTAGGAGCAGGCAGGGGCCCTCAGGTCAGAGGCCCACTATCCTGCCTTGTTGTCAGCAGATTGTGAGTTGACGAGATACAAACACACCCTGGCCTTTGTATTATATTCGTACTATGAATGTAACATTTATACCCCCACTTTTCAAAAATGCTTATAGGATGGGTAGACACGATACTGAATCCATAAATACAGAACTGCCAGGAGGGGACACACACACAGAGCAGTGTTCCTGCCCCTGGAGAGCTGGATCATAATCCTGAGAGCCACTTGTCAGGACGCTGTCTATACCTGGACAGGGTAAGGGAGATGGGGTAGGCACAGGACCTCTGTTATCGCTCTGTTTTCTTGAATGTTCTTTACACCTCCAAGGCTGGTTGTGAAGGAGACTGAAATGAGAGCACCGAAACACAAGGCAAATTCATGAAAGAAAGTGCAGGGGCATGTCTATTGGTGATATTTGAAGCGCACTGGTACATTTTTGGCTATTTTTTTCTTTTGGCAATATCCATGAGCACTTTTTTTTATGATTAGGAAATAGGGCATAAATTGAATCCTCTATAAAAATGAATGGTTTAAGATTGTCTTTCATATCAGAAAGGGAAAAAATGTGTAGGCTGTTGGGTATTTGTGCTATCAGAGAAATCACATTTTCCAAATGTTTGGTTGGTTTTTAATGTCCCTTAAGAAATACATTTTTCAAATAGTTGCTATTATTTTAATTAATCAGTGAAATAAGCTTCTAATTTGACTATAGAATTATTAGTTGGCCATTAGAATAGCTACAAAGCTGGTTTTAAATGTGGACTCTTTCAAAATTGTGCAGCGTAGGATTTATGTGAAATGGTATTTTAATTACTTTATTCATTCTTTGTGGGGAATATGAACTTTCATCTCTCCTGGCAGTATTTCATTGTGATTATTGGTTACTCATAATGGTGTGTACTTTTTCCTGTGGTAGAGAATAAGCAGCATTTTCTACAATAAATATGCATGAAGTCCCCTAATATTTTTTAAATTAGTTTGTATATATATATTCTTAGTCCTCACAACAAATAGCTAAATGCTCTAAATTAAATAAAACCTCAAGTTTCCTAAACCAAATTCTAGTTTATTTTTAACTTTCTCTTTAGGAACCAGTAGATAATGGAGTGTGCTGCTAAATCTTTTTGAAGCAAATTTTTACATTAGGATGTCAGAGCTGGTGGTTTATCATGTTGATGGAGAATGCTAATCCTACAGCTCTTCATTTTCTCATCAGTCTTGCTACATCTGGGAGTCGGTGTATTTTCTGTTCATTACTTACTGCTGTACCAAGATTCTTCCTGACCCATTAAATGAAACACGAGACAGACTAAGTGGAGAGAACATTGTTTTATTGCTGCATTAGTGAGGTGGAGCTCACACAGGTGTTATTTCTGGTCTTAAGAGTGGTGCTTTTTGCTTTGAGTATAAAAACCAAATTAATCATTTCATATCTAAGGCTTTTAAGTTTAATTGAATCATTTTCATTCAGCGTTTGTTAATCAAAACTGGTCGCTTTGGCTTTACATAATCTTATATTTGGAATGGAAAGTGGGGAAGAGAAACCAGTGTCTGGAGACTTGCTTTGATGTTCGAAATGGCTAGTTAAACCCACACCAAATGTCGTGGCTTTTTGCGATACATGATGAAGTGCAGGATTAGAGGGATAATATAACACATAGTGCGGGATGATAAGGCTGCCTGTGTGTGGGCCCCTTGAATGCCACATACTTCGCAAAAATAGAAGCTTTCCCTTTTTTCTGGTTAAGAATAACTGAACGTTTTTTTTTTTGAAGTTGTAGAAATGAGAGCCTGAATTTCTACGGTAGACTGGTGTTGTGATCAATAAGTCATCTCAGTTGACCAAAAGATAGCACCGTCAGCCTGTCTTCTGAAGGATTATGTATTTTTCAACAATTTTACATTTTACATTTTGGCAGCAGTGCTGCTTTCTGTTCTGCGGTCAGAGGGATGGACGGGGATTCTGGCATGTCAGTGTGGCACTTGTGATTCTGGGGGATGGAGCGGCAGCAGGATTCTTCCCTCCCCATAGCGAAGGTGGCGGCTTCAGCGCAACAGGCAGGCAAAACTACGCTGACGGATCTCATTAAAGATCCAGAACATTGTTCCGACCCTCTCCCCATAGTTACAGGCCTTAAAGACATTCCCAAATACTCAGTTTTTAGAAAAGGCATAAATGGTAAGGTAATACTTATAAGTAAGGTAATGCTTATAAGCTAAGTCTGATAGGCAGGAAATAAAAGGGAAATCTAAAAACAAATATGGGACATAAAATGGGTCCATCAACCAATATTTTTGAGTACCTACCATGTGTCCTGCATATGTGCCACAGGACATAGAAAAGAATGGATAATGACATGGCATGTGCTCCTCATTGTACTTGCCTGATGAAATTTAAATTAAAATTAAACATAGAAATACAAATGCTCATCATCCTTTAAAAAATTAACTTGTAGAATTTCAGACCTATAAAAATAGTGAAATGGGAAAGTTAATTCATTTGGGGCAGCTTGACTCTTTAAGGTATTCTGTAAAGCGCACAGTGCCTGGCACAGAGTAAGGCCACCGTAAATGGTGATGTCACTATTGTTTATACTGACTTAGGAATGTGTATACTGTGTCCAATCCCAAGTAAATGTGATGGCTAAGAGTAAACTGGAGAATGACGTACAACTCCCCTGGTCATTCTCAATGCCTGGGAAGAAGGAAGGGCAGGATGAAAGTCTAGTACCGGCACGGACAATCAGGGGAATCCTCAAATCAGGGAAATATCTTTTTGCCAGAAGTAGGTCTTACAGGTAGCCAGCAGTAGAGGCAGACACAACAAACGCAGGTTTTTCTGCCAGCAGCCAGAGAATTTCTCTGCACCAACTGCAGGATCCAACGTGCCAAAGAACCACCCTTCTTCTTAGTCATGTTTTCACCTGAAGTTTGTGACACAGGTTGTTTAATTTTCTTTATGTATATCTAACTTTTTACTTATAACCTATAATATGATAGGCTTTACTTTCCATAAACCTTGCTTGCAGTTAACTTTACTGGAATGCAATTATTCTGTGAAGTAGAAAGTAGCTTATTGGGCCTGGGTACAGTGGCTCACGCCTGTAATTCTAGCGCTTTGAGAGGCCAAAGCAGGAGGATTTCTTGAGCCCAGGAGTTTGAGGTTGTAATGAGCTATAATGACACTACTGTGCTCCACCCCAGGTGACAAAGCAAGACCCTGTCTCAAAAAACGTATTAAAAAATGTGGCTCTCTCCTATGTTGAATTTTGTGGAGTGATGAATTCGAAAGGCTTTTACAGAAAGAATTTGTGCCAATGGCATTAGGAATCACATGTTATAAAATTGTCGACAGGGGGAGGTTAGGAACTGACACTTTCCCCATTGATGGCCCCCAAGTCTGGCTCATGCTGCTGTAGGCCCCATTGATGAGCATGTAGGCCCTGGGTTGGCCTCATTAGCAGGAAATGTTCAAGCCACATTTGTGGCAGCATCCATCACTCCTCCACCCCACCCCTGATGCCTTGACCCACTCTTTCTTCTCTTTTCACTCCCTTCTCCTGTTATCTGGTCAAGACTGCCCAAGAATTCTCATCCTTAGCTCCTGGGTCCCTTCTGTGGTCATCAGTCCTCCAACACCTTTCCCTACAGCAGTGTTTGTCAAATGTCTTTTAGATTTGAAGCAGAAACAGTGGAGCCCAATACTGAGCACAGGTAAATATGGAGCTGCTCTGGGTCGATTGGGCTGGAGATCTTCTGGAGCCTGCTGCCAATTCTGCCCCAACTGCCACGTGGCTGCCCCATCAAAGTCCAGCAAAGCTTCCAGAATCTAGGAGCACAGTTTAAAACCATTGCCCCCCCCCCAGCATTTTAAAGAGAAAATAGGCAATTTTATAAGAATCCTGGAAAAAATACTCTGCCTGTAGACTTTAAATTCTTTTCCTAAGTATCTACAGTATGTGCTGCCTTCCTACCAGGACCCTACCTATTGGTGCCACAAGGTAGTTACATAAGCAAAGGTCTGTCAGAAGAGCAGAATAAACTTTCAGAGGTGTAAAGCAAGATCTTTCCGTTTCCTGATGCTGAACTGTCCAAATCCCCCTCCCATCCTGTGCCCACCCCTCTTCAAGGGAAAATCAGTCCAGACCTAACTAGATGGAGCACAGCTGAGGCTGAGGGCCTGAAAGGCTGTAGCTGTGGTAGGGTAGGAATGGACAGCAGGTGGAAGCTCTTGGGGAATGAATGAAGGAAACCAACCCAGCGAGGGCCACAAGTCAAAGTCAGGTGAAAGAGGAGAGTGGCGGGCACAGGCTCAGAGCAGAAGAGTGGCCCCGCAGGACGGGGTCAGAGATTAGGTTTGGAACAGACTGAGTTTCTATTGATTGGGGCTAACCTGTTTATTTCCTTTCTAAAGCTGCGGGATCTCTAACCATTGATGTGCTTTTTGAAATCTCATTATTTAGGAGTTCTTTGGAATTTATCCTCATGTGATGCTGTAAAGATGACAATCATTCGAGATGCTCTCTCAACCTTGACAAACACTGTGATCGTTCCACATTCTGGATGGAATAACTCTTCTTTTGATGATGATCATAAAATTAAATTTCAGACTTCACTAGTTCTGCGTAACACAACAGGTTGCCTAAGGTAAATTCTTTATCCTTATCAATTAATTCTGTGACTAAATAATATGTATGATAGGTAAATTGATTTTAGGAGGACTTTTATAATTTTGTTAATATCTATCTAGGTTTACTTCAGGCCACTGCACTTTGTTATTTTGTAAGAAAAACATGAGCACAGACTGGTGGCCTTTATAAAGGTATCTTATAAATGACTCTTCTGTGAATTATTCAGAAAGGCCCTCTCAGTCTAAGATTACTGCCAAAATTCCAGTGTTTTTCACTTATAACAGCATTTTTCTGGTTATCACATTCTGATTGCTAATGTATTTGCAGCCTGGTTTTTGTTTAAATTCTAAATGTGATTAAAACCTTTTTGCTTTTAAAGGAGTATAAAGAGGTGTGTGATTTAAACAATCATTGGGTTTTAGTTTTTTTAAAAAAATGAAAATGAGCCCAAGTTCTACTTTTTTGGTCATTACCATTAGCATTTAAAATCTATAAAGCCTCTCTTATGCGTGCACAGTACAACTCATTATTTGGCATTAACACTCATCAGCTCAGCTTGGACCCCGTTTGCCAGCCTTACAATGCCCTGGGCGGGAAACAGAAGCCTCGGTGCAGAGTGGCGCAGTGACAGGGAGGACAGCCTCAGGCCTCAGACAGCCTGACCTCTAGTCCCACTTGGAGCCTCAGTTTCCTCATCTTTAGGATAAGGCTCATGATACCGCGTCAGGGTAGTGAGGAGTCAGCAGGTGCACGTGGAAAGTACTCCATGCACTGTCATGGAGGGAGTGCTTCACGAGTGGCATTTAACATTTAAGTCAAGACGGCTAAGCATCTCTGGGGCAGAGAGCTTGGAAGAGGGGCAGGCATCTGTGCAGCTGCTCTGGAGCCTGGCGCCTTCCTTGTGACAGGTGGCTATCGGCCCCTGTTTGGGGAAAGGTCAGGGCTGGGTGGCGATGAGAGTCAGGATCCCGGAAAACAAGCCAACTCCGTTTCACCCAGATGCCCGCACAGCGTGGGTCACGTGGTCTAATCACCTGAGGAAGCATCTCATGCTCTCCCCACCAGGTTGCACAGAGGTGTGATCGCCCCTTAGCCAGCGGGCTGGGCTTCAGGGAAAGCCCTGGGGCAGGACACACCCTCACTTTCCCCAGTGGTTCGGACTGTAGACATGTGGCAAATGCCTTCTGCGTGAAACCAGTGATGAGCAAGACAGACTAGGTCCCTGCTCTAATGGGACCACACTCTATTGGGAAGACAGACAAATAAGGAAACAAAATAACAGCAGGTGCCATAAAAATAAATAGGGTGGTGTAAGGGTTAAGGGGTGGTTACTCAGGTGGTCTCTCAAGAAGGTGAAGTTTGAACCCACATCTGAACTACCACAGGAGCCACCCATCTGAGGGTTCGGCTCAGGAGGACAAGAGTTCCAGGCCGGGGGAACAGGTCGTGTAAAGGCTCTGGGGCAGGAGTGAGCTTGTGGCTGCAGTTTAGAGAACAAAGGGGAGAGTAGTACCAGATCATGTAGGATTTTGTAAGTCAGGTGACGGAGTTGGCATTTTATTCCAAGTGCCACGGGAAGCCATCAGATGGTTCTGAGCAGAGGAAACACGGGGCTGGTTTCTGGCTGGAAGACTGAGCATGGGCAGAAGTGGACACAGGAAGATCAGGCCGCTACAGTGCCCCAGGCAAACTGTGAGTGGCCTAGACCAGGGCCCTCCCTAGAGGTAGGCAGATTTGGTTATCTTGACAAGCTGATAAGACTTGCTAATAGATTGAATGTAAAGGATGAGGAAAAGGGATGAAATAAGGATAACACCCATATCTTTGGCTGGATCAACTGGAAACAAAAATGCTGTTGATGAGATAGATATGCGTGGGGGGTGGGGGGAGGAGAATGTCTGGAGGCATGAGCAGTGGAGAGTGTTGATGACATCCCTTTTGAGGAGTATGATTAAGCATGTGGTCATGTCAAGAAAACAACTGGGTAAATGAGTCTGGAGTTCTGGAGAAAGGTCAAGGCTACAGGCAGACATTCAGTAGTCCCGGGTCCATAGGTTGCATTCAATCCAAGGAGCAGAAGGAGGCACCTGGGAGAGGACAGACATAAAGACGAGAAGGGACCGAAGGAGAGTGCTGTGGCTGTCCTGGAGGAACCCGAGGGCAGGGCTAAGAAGGGGACGCAGTGAGGTGGGAGAAACCAGAACAGGGCGCAGTCCCAGGTGCCTGCAGAGGAAAGGAAGAGGTCGGCTGTTGAGCGCTGCTGAGAGGCGACCTGAGTTCAGAGCAGAGAGGGACCACAGGCCACAGTGTCTTTGTGGCCACAAAAAAACAAAGGTGAAAAGAAAAGTCATTGCAATCCCCCTTATCTAGTCTAGCAGAGTTAGCCTAGAACCCTTGTTAATGGGACATAAAATAGATCCTAACTTGGTATCCATTTATGAAAGCAAATTGATATCAAAAGTTACCAAACAGATGAAACTCAAAACAATTATCAGGGTTTTTTATAATCGAAAAGATGAGAAAAATTTTAATATAAGCAAATCTCCACGTTTAACCTGAAATTTTTGTTTCCTCTGAACATGTCAAGAAACCTTTAATGACCACCTACTGTATGCAAAACATTATAATAGGCACAGGGGACTGCAAGGACAGTCTGGCCTAACAAGGGAGGTAAAGCATGTCTCAAAATCACCACCATGGCTAATACACGTGCCTTGTATGTGGCAGGCACTTTGCTAATTGCTTTATATGTACAACGCGTTTCCTCCTCACAACAACCCTACATGGTAGTTACTGTTATTTTCCCGTTTTAACCTGTGATGAGGCTGAAGAGCATCGGTCCCTAAATAATTTACACTGGGGAGTTGGAAAGCGACATGTCCTGAGAGAGGTACAGTTAAAGTCCACATCCTTAGGTTCCTTTCCATTTCCGTGGATAAGAGGGAGTCGGTCATTATTGCGAGCTTTTGGGATGTTAAAATGCAAGCTGCAAAATGCCTCCCCACGCCAAGTCTCAGTGGCTGTGGTCTGTGGTCTGTTCTCTCAGATCGTGAAGGTGAGAGTGCATGGCTAAGGAGTAAGTTGTTCATCTCGGCAGCCCCCACCTTGTCTCCACCCATTTAGGAACCTCAGCTCCGCAGGGGAGGAGGCCCGGAAGCAGATGCGGTCCTGCGAGGGGCTGGTGGACTCGCTGCTGTACGTGATCCACACGTGTGTGAACACATCCGATTACGACAGCAAGGTCAGTGCCCGCCGGGCCACGTGAGGGCTCAGCAGCCAATGACGACAGCCGCCTGATGCCACTGTTTGCATGCTAGTGATTCTCTCCCCGTGGGGATACACTTCAGATCAAAGGGCGAGTCTTGAAAAATTACTGGTTGAGAGGGACGTGGTGACTTAAGAAAATAGACCTAGAACCGAGCAGACAGGATGACTCAGTGTGGGACAGACTGAGCAGAAGGGCACAGCAGCAGGGCTGCAGAGAGGTGCAGCCACGTTAGTGCTGCGGTGGGGGCTACAGACTGCACCCGGGCAAGAAGAGCACAGAGAATGGGGGCATTTAGCGCCTCACCAGGAACTTTTACTCAATAGATGCTCAAATACAGATGGATCTGATTCTGGGGTGGGGGATACAGGGGCGGAGGAAACAGCAGCAAGGCGATCACCTTGAGAACAAGCCCAGGAGAACCCAAGGAAGCCCCTTCGCTTCCCTCCTGTGCTCCATCCCTGCCAGAGCAGGGCACTCTGCTCATCATTTGTCAGCTGTGACAACCATCCAGGCTCTGCCCTCGTAGCTGAGAGGTGGGAGTAAACAGGGAGGAAGGACTAAAAGTCAGGAGTTATAAGGCAGGCCAGGCACAAGGCGTCAGGCTGGGCCGGGCTAGTAGAAGCTATTGGTAGGTCTTGGGTTGTAAAGATGAGTCTGAGAGAGAAAAGAGTGGTGAGCTCAGGGAGAAGGTTGGGAGGTGAGAGGTGAGAGCCAAGTTTTTTCTGGAGCCTCATTGAACCAAAAGATCTGCAGGTGAAATTGAGAGGCATAAGCAGGTTGGAAAAGGGAGCTTGCTAGATGGGCAAGTGTTGAGCTTGGTGTTAGACACCCAGTTGAAGTGATAGTTGGTCTCCCAATTAGAGATGTGATGCAGAGTTTAAGAAACAAAAGACCATGGACAGAAGGCAAATGTCAACAGAGCAAAAAATCACTGAACATTCCTCAAAGGGTAAACTTGGGAGATTGAGGAAGCGGCAGAGGTAGAGCTTGAGGGCAGTGCTGTCACCAGGGAGGGAGTTGGTGCACCTGTTGTCATGCTGAGGGTCTACAGTGGTGAGAAGGAACGAGGTTCTGGCATCTCAGGTGCAGTCAGGCGCTGCCGTGGACTGAAGCAGAAACACTGGGCCGCAGCCTTGCCTATTAGTCAGCACAGAATCAGATCCCGATGGCTCTGCACCCTATCGTTTGGGTATCCCCCCAAAACCCTACAGTCATGATTCTTTCTCTGGATTGTTTTAAGGTTCCCATAAATAAAAGGTAGTTTTCATATTCTCCATTTATTTCCTGTCAGTAGTGTTCAGTACAGAAGCACTTCGCTCTAACATGCTGAGATGTGTTTACCTGTACTCCGTGTTGGGTTTCAGACAGTGGAGAACTGCGTGTGCACCCTGAGGAACCTGTCCTATCGGCTGGAACTGGAGGTCCCTCAGGCCCGGCTGCTGGGGCTGAACGAACTGGATGACTTACTGGGAAAAGAGTCTCCCAGCAAAGACTCTGAGCCAAGCTGCTGGGGGAAGAAGAAGAAAAAGAAAAAGAGGACTCCACAAGAGGATCAAGTTAGCATTTTATTTGACATGAAACGCCATAGTTTCATTTTTAGGGGAGTGATAAATCCCATATTTAGCAAGAGACAAAATTTCTACATAGATAACAGCTGAGTCCAGCAAAGATGAATATTGTTATGTGTTGGAGATCGTGTTCGTTTTGCTTCCCTTTAATGTGTGCTGTCTGTCTTTCAGTGGGATGGAGTTGGCCCTATCCCAGGACTGTCAAAGTCCCCCAAAGGGGTGGAGATGCTGTGGCACCCGTCAGTGGTGAAACCATATCTGACTCTTCTAGCAGAAAGTTCCAACCCAGCCACCTTGGAAGGCTCCGCTGGATCCCTCCAGAACCTCTCTGCTGGCAACTGGAAGGTGGGATGTCTTCCACTTGTCTGCACTGCTTTCTGTCCCTACAGCCAGATCAGCCATGATGGTGTAAGGGGTGTTTAGAGCCTGTCTGTGAAAGGGACGGAGGGAGGAAAGGGAGACACGGGCAGTTGCTGTGGGTATCCAAAGACGAATACAACATCTTCCCTCCCTGGGAGAAACCGAAGGTTGGTGGGAAAACAGGTCGTGCCAGCACAGTGTAGAATCCTCAGGATGTGTGTGCTGCGAGATCTCAAGGACATCTCGGCCCGCTGAGCAGGGCAAGGGGAGGGCAAGGAGGTGGGAGGCTTCCTGCAGAGGTATGCTGTCCCGAATTCAGTCTTGGAGGATGAGGAAAGGTAAGCTGGCAGAATCTGAGATTGGGGTGTAATCAAGACAACGGGACAACAAGAGAAAAGCCCTGCGGCGAAGAGAGGAGAGGACCATGCAGGTTGAGACCACAGGCTGCTCACAGGGACATAGGGGGCAGGCCGGAGAGTGGCCCAGGATGGAGCCATACAGCATGGACAGGCGTGATGGCCAGGCTTCAGGAGCCAGGACCTACCCTGCAGACAAGAGGGGCCACTGACAGAGTTTGAGAGGGACAGGCGGATGTGGACCCTACTTGGATCACTTCCATGGCCATGCAGAAGGTAGATTCGGGAAGAGAAAAGTCAAGGCTGGGAATCCATTTGGGAGCCAGTGCAGCATCCGGGGAGAGACAGTGAGGCCCGAGTTGGAGCGCAGGGTGGGCAGCGCTGTGGGGGCAGCAGGTGGACCACTCTGTTCCTTCCCAGACACTTGCAGAGCACATCTAAATTTCCATATCTCCTTGTAGATGTGAGACTATGGAAACTGAAGGTGGTTTCCTCTTATTGCCACTATAAGCAAGTTCTCAGAACTTTTTAAATGTCATCCAGCAACTTCCCAGACAGTCCTTGTCTGAAACATTTCCAATCTCTAGAAATTTCCTGACAAGTGTATTTTAGTATTTATTATAATGCTTGGTTTTGGCCACTCCCCCCCCCAACCCCACATCCCCGCCACCACCCAAAATGAGAATCTTTTGGTGACTATATTATCCATGATAGTGAAAAGCACTGACAGGCCTAGGTATGGTTGTTTCACGCAGGTGGCTGCTATATTGAATAAATACAGGTAATTATGGTCTAAGCCAGTGTGATTATTTTGTTGTTGTACCTAATTAAAGTGCTAATAACTCGGTGTTTAAGTGCCAGCTCTGGAGACAGACCACCTGGCCGAATCCTGGCCCCTCTACTTACTAGCTGGGGCCTGGGATCTCTCTGTCCTCAGTTTCATCATCTATAAACTGAAGGTAATGTTAATACCTACGTTATGAGGCAATTGTAAGGATTAAATGAAATAATAAGTGTGGAGGACCAAAGGCAGTTCCCAGCACATAAATATTTGTAAATGCTTATGTTGTAGACCAGTGTCCACCTTCAGCATCCGTGACCAAAGGATGACTTGGCAATAATAAAAAAGACAATACTTCAAAGAGATGTGATTTGAGTTGTTCAGAATTTCATGTCTGGGATCATTTAGTGAATGAAAGTTAGATGGCAACGCTAGTTTAAAATATAAACATTATATTTAAGTGATTTCAAAAGTTTCTAAAACAGTGAGCCAAAATATTGGACCCTCATTAAGAAAACGAGATAATCATAGCCACAGATGTTATCAAATCAGAGGCTATTTGGGGAGCCACAGTGATGACTGTGGTGCTCCGGAAGGGAGGTGCTCGGGGCTGGGCTGGGCTGGGCTGGGCTGGGCTCTGCTGGTCGGTCTCCAAGTGAAACAGAAGGAGTTGGTTCTGTTGTTGCAGGTTTCAGAGAGAAATTGATAAAACTGCCCGAGTACTTTACCTTATAGCAAGTCCTGTACTCTCCCCCCTGTAGATTTCATTTGAGTTGAAAAATAGGAGTAGTCATTTCATGTGAGGAATGTTAATAGGATCTGTGAAATGCATCTTTTCCTCCCATTTGGATTATTAAAATTATTCTGTTGGTATTCAAGTTACTGGAGGGTCAGTGACATATTCTGACATTCAAAATAATACAAAGGGCTGGTAGATCTTTGTCTTCAAGTCTTAGCCGCAGCAGGAAAGTATTAGATGTTTTATGAGCAATGTCTTCCAATTATCCTAAATCTTGAAAGATGATCTGCATTGGTAAAAATGTCAATTAAAGCTTAAAGCAGGATTAAAGATCTGTTTTTCTAATGTTACTTCTTTTTGGTTGTGTCACTGATGACTTAGCGCTCATTTCCAATTCATATGATGCACAAACTGACTCACTGTACAGAGTTGCCTCATAGTCACAAAAGAATCGCTTGACTGCAAATTAAAAAAAATATATATATATATAAGAGCAGCAGCAGCTAACTCGTCTTGAATGAGAATGCATTTTGCACACAAATATACTTACTTTTTTGCCAGTCTGTATGAATTGTGATGCTTGATGTTTCTGGAGAATTCCCTTTCTTCTGAGGCAAGGGATTTTTCCAAGCAATCTCTTTGACAGGTTATTGAACTCTAAATATTGTTTCAGGGAATATAGAAAAAAAAATAAAAATGGCTGGATGCAGACAGGTTCTCCTTTAATGTGCACTGATGGTTACTATCTCTGCCACCTATTTATAGCCTTTAGGCCTGGCATGGGACCAACTGCAGAGAAAACACACGATCCTTCCTTAATCATGTTTATGTATCTGAGATAGAAAGTAATCACTGCCTTCTCTTTTCTGCACAAAAATATCTGGCAGATGGTGGTTTGAGATTTTCAGGCTTTGGAATTTCTTTTTAAATCAGTCATCCCAGGCTATCTTTCTCTCAAACTATAGTTTTCTCTTTACTGACACCACAGATTTAATCTTCAATTGGAAAGAAAACATTTAATCTATTAGTTCATCTTTTGGAAACATCTTTTTTTTTAGGCGATAGTAACATGTAAGAGTGGAACTTTATATTATTTATTGCCTTATTTTGCTCACTAGTTTGCAGCATACATCCGGGCAGCTGTCCGAAAAGAAAAAGGGCTACCCATCCTTGTAGAACTTCTGAGAATGGATAACGACAGAGTCGTTTCTTCCGTGGCAACTGCCTTGAGGAATATGGCGCTGGATGTTCGCAACAAGGAGCTCATAGGTATGTTCTCGTGACAAGTTGGGCTATAAAGGGAGAGCAACTATAATATTTATAAAACTCTTCTTTTTGATTAATAAATACATAACATTTAAAATCACTAACAGCTGAGCCCCAGTCCTCCATCTCTTGGCGTATTTAGGTACACCCCTACTTGGCGACCATTATTTTTCTGCAGGAGGCAGGCTGCATTAATTAAACATTGACTGGGGAAGATGCATTTTCAGAAGAGCCAGCAATTTCAGTTGTACATTACAACACCAAATGACAGATCTGGTGTCTCTGTTTCCCAAGAGACGTCTATTTCCTGAGCAACAAAAAATTTTTAATTCTCCTTTTCCAATTTTTTGGATTGCTATCTGCTAATTCACCAATACAACCATGTTGTAAATAAAAAAAAGAAATCATGTGAGTGTTATGTAGCTTTTCTCTCTGAGATCTGTGTAAATGCTTACCCCACGACAGAACCACCATCCCCAGGTCATTCCTTCCTTCCCAGGGCAGGGCCAGGGTGAGGTGGGCAAGGCCCTGGGGGCACAGATCCTTAGGAGGCCTCACTTTTGCACAAGGGAGGCAGGGACAGGCGTGCAGGGAGGAATGGGCACCAGAGAGGGTTTTGCACCCTCAGCAGTTTGTTCGCCTTCAGGGCATTGCCACGTCCCAGGCAGGATGTGGGGCAAAGAAAAGGTCAAGGACTCTGCATAGACCTGAGCTTCAATCCTGGATCGGCTGCTCACCCCACGCAATCCCCAGGTGTCCTGCGTAACCCAACCCTGACTCAGTTTCTTCATCTAGACTGGGAATGAAAGGGAGCTGGTGGTGACTACTGCCCTGACCTTGGGTTCGCTGTGGAGAGGAAATGAGACGGGGTGAGGCAGCCCCTTACAAACCGCCAAGCCCCACGCCAGTGCCCCACCGCTGGGGACAGGTCAGGGGAGGGTAGCGGGAGGGGAACTGGGACGAGATCTCATGTGGCTTCATGTGAATCTGTATTAAACTTAGATTAAAACATGTCTGCCATGATGGAGAGATAGCGAAAGAGAATAAGGACAATAATATTTACCGTCAAGAGTTGCAGTGAGGGTTAAATAGGAAAGCCTTTCACACAGTGTCTGGCAGAATTGCTATTTTCAGTTGTTGCCAGATTAACCTGCTCTTAACACACCATTCCTCTGAGCCAAATCGTCCCCCACGGAGAGAAAAGGAAGTTCCTCCCCGCCCTGTTCATAGTCCAGCTTGTGCCTGATCCTAGTAAGATGTGCTATAACTCTCAGTTCCCACACTTCCTTGAGAGAAATCCCTTAGGTCCCTAAAGAGAGGGGGGTTTTTAAGTTGTTTTTGTTATATCTGCATTGTTTGAATTTCTTATAAGAAGCAAAGGAATTCTTTGTAATCTGAGAGTTCTTAATGCTAAAAAAATAAATGGTTTACCTATCTTATGTCCTATCATATTCCACAACTCATAGAAGACACAGGTAATATAGGAGGCCTGGCACAAAACACATTTTTATCAAGCTGAGGGTGTCTATCAGCTGATCTGACATCAGTAGGGACAACATGTTGGTTTCCTTAAAAATGGCACAAGGCGGGACACAGTGGCTCAGGCCTCTAATCCCAGTACTTTGGGAGGCTGAGGCAGGAGAATCGCTTGAGGGCAGGAGTTCAAGGTTACAGTGAACTATGTATGGTCAATGCCATTGCACTCCAGTCTGGGTGACAGAATGAGACCCCATCTCTTAAAAAAAAAAAAAAAAATGACACAAGTAAAATTTTTGCTATTAAAATTATAGGCATATTGTCTCCCAGGATAATAATAAAGCAATAATAATAAAGTTCTTAGTAAGACAAGGCTAGGGGAGTCTCACATCTATTGAAGCAATTCTTTATAGATACCAAATTTCTCATACTCCTTTCCAAAAAGAGATTATCTCTAGCTTTTTCAATTTCAATTACCAGCTGACAAACTAGAATAAATGCACTCCAAACAAAAGAAATTAACTAAAGCTCAAGTAAATATTTTCTTAGTTTTTTCCCCCCTTTGCTAATAATTGAGTAGATGCTAAATGGGGCTCTCATTAAAGACCTATTTATGTCCAATGGTAAGCAACAGAAGACAGCCCCTGACTGCACACTGCATAATTCGCAGCACGTCACAGGGAAGGCTCAGCATCCTCACAGCAAACACTGTTAAGAACAGTAGAAAAACAGTGATGGCATTGTAAGGCCACAAGATAAATGTGGTATTTGAGACCAGATGACAAGTCAGCACTGGTGATTTTGAATACTCACGAAAGACCAAAAGGTCCGTGACATGTAATTTTTCATTTCACTGAGGCACAACTTTAGATGGCACTCCCGGGGCTCAGGATGAGGCAGCTCACTCCGCCTGTGTGCGACTGAGCCTGGCTGTCCCCTCAGAACCTGCCGGGTGGGACCAGCTCAGTTCAGTGTGGAGTAAGCTCTGTGAAGCGACAGAAGTGCGTCTCCGTTAAAAATGGCTCTGACAAGAAAGTCCATTGCTAGTGCTGGTGACGGATGTGAAAAGAGAGTGGGGATCCGAGAAGGGGAAGGTTCTTAGGGTTAGAAGTGCTGGGTAAATTAGCGCCAAATACTGAATCTGGGAGGGGCGCAGATGAATCTTCATGGGGAAACAAGAAAAAGTTATTCATGGAGCAGCTTAAGCATGCTCCAGCTGGTTAAAAAAATACTCCTCACTAGAGAGGGAAAATGCTACTGGAAGTTAACAAGGTGTTATTCCCAGAAAGCACGGGGATGCACTGATAGAAAGCCAGGACTCTGAATACACATTCCTTCTTCCCAAGGTCTTTTAAAGAAACCAACATGTTGTCCCTACTGATGTCAGATCAGTTCATAGACACCCTCAGCTTGATAAAAATGTATAACTGTACCCAGGTCACATGTTAAGATCCACAAAGATTTCATGAAAAGTAGTATTTGGCAGCCTTACTTGGTCCAGATTAAAGAGACATTTCATAAAGCTTTAAGAGAAAATTGAGATAGTTTTGATGCATAGGAATTTAATTGAGAATAAAATTTACTATTGTAATTCCTTCATTACTTGCTGTTACTGAAAAGAGTTGAACTAAAGCAGTTTCATTATAGTCTACCCAATTTTATGCACTGATTTACATTTTCTTGCAGCATGTGATAGTAATGTTTTACAAGCCCATCCTTTCTTCAACAATGTTGCCGGAAATTCTAGCTTTCCCCTTAACAATTACATGTGTCCTTTTCTTCTTTGCCGTGGGTTTTGATTTCTTTTTCCTGTTATCTTCTTCCTTGAGGTTTTCTTTTTAAGAGACTGCACACTGTCAGAATCTCTCAACAACAACAACAAAAGCCTAGTACCTTCTGGAAGGAGAACTTAACCTTTTGATTTGGCAGGTAAATATGCCATGCGAGACCTGGTCAACCGGCTTCCCGGTGGCAATGGCCCCAGCATACTGTCTGACGAGACCATGGCAGCCATCTGCTGTGCTCTGCACGAGGTCACCAGCAAAAACATGGAGAATGCCAAAGCCCTGGCCGACTCGGGAGGCATAGAGAAGCTGGTGAACATAACCAAAGGCAGGGGAGACAGGCAAGTCTGCGACGCGGAGGGGCGGGCAGGCCTCTGGTTCCTGGGATTATCCTGAGATAAGGCCTTTGTCAAGGATCCCTTTCCTATAGGGAAGGTCTTATTTTTGCAATTCTTATACGCTGACATGCTGAGCAGTCTCCAGCAGTTAAAGCCTGTTACTCTGGGAGACGCATTTTCTGTCATGCAGCCTTTTTCTACTTTTTACCTTACGGTAACACCTCACTCCTACACTGGTTTCTGTCTCTGTCTTAGTCTGTTGAGGCTGCTATAACAAAATATCATGAACCGTGTGGCTTATAAACAACAGAAACTTATTTCTCATCCAGTTCTGGATGCTAGGAAGTACAAGATCAAGATGCCAACAAATTCAGTGTCTGGCGAAGGCTGCCTTTCTGGTTCATAGGCGGCACCTTCTGGCTGCGTCCTCACCTGGTGAAAGGGGGGCGAGGTCTCCCTCAGGCCTCCTCTGTGAGGGCACTGATCCCATTCAGGAGCGCTCCACCCTCATGACCTAATCACCTCCCCGAAGGCCCCACCTCCGCGTGCCATCACCTTGGAGGTTAGAATTTCAACACGAATTTTGGGGGTGGGACACAAACATTCAGACCATGGCAGTCTCTAAAGCCACAGTTGGTCATGCCACCCCCTGGAAGAATCAGAAATGCCAGGATGGGGACAATGTAGGGGGACACCATTTCCCTGGTGCCTTTGGCTCTGCTCCAAGGCCAGAGGCTGTTTTACAAGAACATCTTCTTGCATCCTCAGTTCTGGGATTAATTCTTCTTCCAGGTGCCCAGAAAGTACATTTTAGTACATTTTAGTACTTGCCCACTGCTGCGAGCAAGGCCTGCTGTGTGCCCTCAGGATGCGCCCTAGGCCTGGAGCACCGCAGCTCCCTTTGCTTCTAGATGACACCTCGCTGTTGAAGCAGCAGACGTAGGGATTAGGCAATTAGTGGCAAAAATAGAAGGGTTTTTTCTATCATGAAGCTAAAGCAGTGACTGTAAATTTGCCTGAGTATCTGATGAGAGAAATGGTAAGTGGGGTTCTCAGTGCCTTATCAGAGCAACAGGACAGCTGCCTCCCCTACTCTCCACCCCTCCCCCTCTCTTGGTAGCACTGATTCCGCCACGTGCAATTCATGTCTTCCTCTAGGCTCTCACTGCCCCAGCAGCAGGGGCTTTGATTTGGGTTCACTGCTGTATCCCTAGCATCTAGAATAAAGCCTGGCCGCCCACGCCAGGTGCTCGGTGAGCACTGGTTGGCTGAATGACAGTGCCGGAACTCTCATTGTGTCTCATCTAGTCCGGTAGGTTAGACTTTTGATGGAATTTCTATAATGTAAGAAGAATCTAGCAAACAGTAGTCTCTCTCCCCCAGAAACCACACTTATCCACATTAACAGTATTTCCTTCCAGTCCTGTTTTTCCTTTTTGGATTTCATTTGTAAGAAATGTACACAGTCAAGTTTTTATTTTAAAGGAAATGAAACATGACAGATAAGGCTAAGGTCCCTTTATGCTGACTACCCCCCCCAACCCCCAGGTAGCTGTAATCACCTGCTGTGCCCCTGAATGTCACTAGACATGTGACCGGCCCAAGAGGAGGCTGGAGGAATGCTGAGTAGATGTCAAAACCTTTGCCTGTTAAAGAAAAAATTATTACCCAGACCAACCTTTTTTTTTCAAAACAAGAGCTTCAGAACCAAATCAAGTTGTCTCCTGACTATACACTTAAGTGTCCTCATGACTTTTTCCACCAAGTATTTATTGATTGCCTGCTGTGTGCCAGGCGAGGCTCTTGGTGCTGGGCTTACAGCAGTAGGAGATCACGCAACACCCTCACCTCAGGTACCTTACGCTCCAGGCAAGGCAGGTGAGGTGCCAGGTGAGTGACAGGGCAGCACGGCTGCTGGTGCTGGGGGATAGGGCAACAGGCCATGCCGGGAGAGGAAGGCCTGGAAGAGACAGCGCCTTGGAGCACGGGCCTTGGCGGAGGAGAGGGAAGGAGCAGTGCAGCTCCCTGGGGAAGGGCATTCAGGTGGGGCATATGCAGAGGGCCCTGAGGGGAGAGAACCTTGTGCCTGTGTTTGAGGAATGGCAGGAAAGCCGTGGGCTGGTGTGGAAGGAGTGAGGGGGAGACGAGGAAGAGGAGCAGTCGGAGGAAGGCAAAGCAGAAGTGGAGGACCCTGCGGGCAGGGTACACGCTGCCATTCATCACCCCAAGTAAAACGGGAAGCTGCAGAAGAGAGTTCAGCAGAGGTGACTTCCCTTCTAAAGGGGTCAGCAACGAGACCCTCCCCCGCCCCCACCCCAGGGAAGACTCATGGCAGCCATTGAGGTGGGGAAGAAGTGGCCAACTCTGACATGGGTTAAAGGTACACTCAACAGTTTGCTGATGGATGCACTAGGTGAGTGGCGTAAAAGGACAGTGTCACGGATGACTCCACAGTCTTCGGCAAAAGAGACCAGAGGGTGGAATCGCCACTCATCAAGATGGGGAGGCCTGTAAGAGGAGCAGGTTTTTAGGGAAGACCTGGGAGGTGCTTTGATGTTGTATTTCAGATGTCTGTTGGACATCCAAGTGGAGATCTGGTCGGCAGTGGCATATACAAATTAAGTTAGGGTTGAGATTCAGGCTGAAAATACAAATTTGGGAGTCATCAGTGTATAATGATTATTTAGAGGAGTAAAAACGGGGTGAGATCACCAAGGAAGTAAATGTAGAGAGAGGAGAAGAGGTGTGAGGGCTGGTGTCCCTCTTTCTTAAAGGTCAAGGAGATACTCAGCAAATGAGCCCAAGAGAGTAGTCAGAGCGTTCAGAAGAAAACCAGGAGCTTGTGGCGCCTTGGAAGCTGAGTAGAGGAAGCGTGTCAAACGTAAGCAGGTGTCAGGTGCTCGTGCTCAGTCAGGTAGGATGAAGATCAAGACTTGACCATTGGATGCAACAATATGGACGTCATAGGTTTACGAGAAGATAGATGAGAGAAATTGGAGAGACGAGTATACAACCCTTCAAGGAGTTGTGTTACAAAGGAGAGCAGAGAAACGTCCTTGCTTTTCTTATGGGTCAGCTTTCTGCTCATAAAATTTGTGTCAGAAAATACTCAGCCTGTTTGTGTCAAGGTGTATACTGGGCACCATCCAGCCTGGTTGCGTGTCACAGCTGTCGTCCTCATAGGCAGGTGTGGCATCTGCTTTCCATGCCTGCTTCATACTTAAAGACGGGGAGACAAAGTGGCAGGACCCAGCCAGGAACAGGATGGCTGTCAAGTATGAGGACCCTGCTCCGCAAAATCTGTCCTGTGGAGGCCATCTTGGATGCTGAATTTCACATTTGTTGATTTCTTTGAAGAATTTAGGCATTGCCTTGTTCTGTGGTCCATTTTGGAAATACAAAGTTTAGAAAGTGGATTGGTTTTACCTGGCTCTGTTCTTGACTGAGCAAGGGCACCGAGAAGAGTGAGTCTTGGGTGGGGCATATAGATGCAGAAAGGCCCCCAAACCAGGAAGAGAGCCTGTGGTACCCCAAATCTGCCTGTGCCGGCCCTCATCTATACCCTCAGAATCATTGGCAACCCACATTCTGTCGTTAGGGCTGAGGAAGCAGCTTACCACCTGTCCTCCTTTCTCTTCTTCCTTTGCTCCATGCGATGTTTAATTAAGAAGATAAAGATAGAAGAGGAAATCAGATTTTAGATGTGGTATATACATTCAGAGTGAAATTGTCAATGTTAAAATGAGTTCTGAAGACAGGTGTTCAGTTGCCCTTAGGGCTGACTCCCCAGCACTGTTCCCTGAGCACCTCCCCTAACGTGGGGACCCGACGGCCTCGGCCGAGGCAGGGAGCTGCACTCCCCTTTCGCCTCCCAGTGAGGCCACTGACTGAGAGCCGTGGCTCCCAAGGTGAAGGTCAGTGACTCGTGGCCAGCCTTGCTCAAACAGAGCGTCAGCATTTCCAAAGTGTCTTCAGAGAGGGGAAGTAATACCTGTGACTATGTTTTCCAAATCGGACATCAGAACACATACATTTGCTTACACAGAGCTATGAGCGATAAGAAGGCAATGAAGGTATTTAGATGAAGGCCTAATAATGAAGGGGGGAAAGGCAGATTAACGTGGGAGGGTCTCCGGACATCGGGATGTGTGGTCATGGTTGCATTAATCCCAAAGCGTCAGTGCGGTCAGCAGCCTTCAGTAGAGATGCGGAGGGACATCGAGGTTGACAACTAAAAAGAGGCCCTCAACTCAGGCTCATCCTGGTGACAGCTTCTCACCGCAGAGCTGACTGCCTAATAGCCTTTCGTTGGTTCTCGCCGCCTCCGGGCAATCCTGAACTCAGTCACCTCCCAGGCACGCCTGATGCCTTGGTGGTGTTTCCCAGCAGCAGCCTCCGTGCCCGTGGTCCTGATAGAGGCAGCCTCTTGGTCACTGGTTTGCAGCCTGAATCCTCCAGGTGAAGCAAAGGCAGTGCCACTCATGCTCATTAACATCTGCGCTCTCTCCCTAGATCATCTCTGAAAGTGGTGAAGGCAGCAGCCCAGGTCTTGAATACGTTATGGCAATATCGGGACCTCCGGAGCATTTATAAAAAGGTAACCTACAAGAATAGCTCTGGCATAATTAGCATTCATCAGAGCACACACTTGTAATCATTTATTGTAATGAAATGTCATTATTCATTTTGAGAGGTTTCTTTTTTCTCTTTTAACTCTGCAGGATGGATGGAACCAGAACCATTTTATTACACCTGTGTCAACACTGGAGCGAGACCGATTCAAATCGCATCCTTCCTTGTCTACCACGAACCAACAGATGTCACCCATCATTCAGTCAGGTCAGTGGGTAAACGCCACTCCTTTTCGGGGCCCTTTGTGTGACAGAATGTTGTTTCCCAACCGGAGAAGAGTGAACAGAAGCTGGTTCAGCCTGTCACCTCCAAGCCTGCTCAGCCAGCTGAGAGCCTTCTTTGGAAATTACAAGTTTACAGCAGCAACAGGGCATAAAATATACCCAGGTGCTCCCCCAAGGTCCTTCTTGCTAGGTGGATTCTGTCTTGTCACTGGAGTCTGCAGTGGACAGGCTGGACAGGTGATCAGGATGCAGGGCAGTGGAGGTGGCACTTAGAGACCCGGGGTTATGCCTGAGGACAGTTGCCCTGTCTGCTTGCTGGCTGTAACTTTGGAATCTCCTCCAAAGTGATTTTCAGTTTTTCTTGGTGAGACCTCTTAGAAGCAGGGTCCTTTAGCAAGATCTTTAGACCTGCAACCTGGGAGAGCCTCACCCTTTCCGGATAAACCTCTTTCCTCTGTAGAGCCCCTGGCATCCACAGCTAATGGGAACAGCCCTTACAGGGTAAGTTTGTAGGATTTTCCCTTTGATTTTTAAGTTGAGGATCTTGGCAACCATACACCTACCTATTTGTAGTGTTTAACTTGGTAGAAAGAATGTTCTGAGATTCAGTCTGAATCTTTTTTTACATGTAAGGGCAGATTAATACTACCAAGCAAGTCAATCCTATAAATTTAATTCTTTTTTTTTTCTTTTTTTTGAGACAGAATCTCACTCTCTTACCCAGCTAGAGGCAGTGGTGTCATCATATCATCATAGCTCACTGCAACCTCTAACTCCCGGGCTCAAGCGATCCTTCTGCCTCAGCCTCCCAAATAGCTAGTGCTGGGACTATACCACGCCCAGCTTTTTTTTTTTTCCTATTTTTGGTAAAGATGGGGTCTCATTCTTGCTCAGGCTGGTTTCAAACTCCTGACCTCAAGTGATCTTCCCACCTCAGCCTCCCAGAGTTCTAGGATTACAAGCCTAAGTCGCTATGCCCAGCCTAATTCTTAACTAAATGAAACTGGAAAAGTAATAAATATCTTCTTTTTATTTGGCTTTAAATCACCCATTCTGACATATAAATATGACCCATTTTATTCAACGGTGCTACTGCTGACAGTCTTATTTCTCATGTGGACAAATGTAGCTGAAAAGACTAAATGTATGGCTGGTGGTTCTTGCCACATAATTGGATGTCCCCTCTTGTACTAGGAATTTTTAAAAATTATCCACCCACTGTGTATGGTGTATATTTATATCTTAGTTTTTAAATTATGGGTTGTTTTCTTCAAAGAGACTTATAAGTCTGGTTTTTAACAATCCTTGCTGAGCTCCCAGGTGTAGCCTGAGACTCTCTTCTTTTAGAAAAAGGCTCAGAATCTTTTAGAGACTTAGGAATAGGGATGTCAGGGAAATCAGATGTGACATGCTTAACAAAAGTCATATGCACAGGCAAAGAATAATTTTAGATAGATGAGCACCTGCTTACAAAGCAATGAACTTGTTTTGAGGACCTCTTAAATATACCTGCTGGACAGTATTGACCAGCCCTTGTCTAGGTTCCTATGGACCTTTTTGGCTTCTGTTCGTAGATAGGATAATTGCACTCCTGTTTCTCCAGTTATTCTAAGAGCCGATCATCCATCCCTTAGTACTAGTGTGGGATCTGCTTATGGGCATGTCTAATGCCTTGCTAAAGTAATCGTGGGAGGCAGGTGGGCATGTTTTCTGTCCTGCTACCTTCTAGAAAGTAAGCGAGGTAAGCAGCACGTAGACACTGCCCATGTGTGCTCACCCATGCTTAACACAGAACAACTCTACGTCAGTGAAGTGACATTTTAGGAAAAGTATTTCAATATCAGTCTTCCTCCAAAAGCATCAATGTGTGCAGAACCACTGGTGCTAGGTCTGAGGGCTGTCACTTTGAAGTGTATCGAGTGAGTAAGTGGCCACTCTGATTTGTAATTAAATTTAGTGGAAGCAAGATGATTTTTTTTCATGAGAAAAAGGAAAAGAATGTGAAATGTTTCTCTCTTCCTTCTGTGCAAAAATGTTCAAAAGGAGGCCCAAGGATAGATATGTTATTATTAGATGTTTGGCTCAAGCTAAGATAAAAAAAAAAAAATCTTCTGGGAGGCCAGGAGGGCTTAGCATCATGAACTTCTTGATGAAGTAGGCTTACTGGGTTTACATAATCGCTCTGACAGCGGATCACCATAAAAAGAATTATAAATTTTATAGACTGGGCACTCTTGTTCAAACACATTTAGAGATGCAAATATTTCTGAAATAATTAGAAATCAGAGCATGCTATAAAACTTGTGTTTACCGAAGTGCTATACATGAAGGATAATAGAGGGGTGTTTTACAAGCAACTGAGCTGAGATCATAAAATAGCAAATATAACCCTTGCGTGGCCAGTAAGGTATTATTACTCACTCAGTTTCGAAGGCCTAGTCAGGTCATTGAGACACACTGGTGGGGCCACCTGCATGATTTCTGCACTGTGCCTCTCTAACTGGGCAGCTGGCACTTCAGCTTATGAGTAGGCCCAGGTGCTGACTTTGCTGATATGCGCAGTGGTGACCTGCAAGTCACATTTCTGGTACTCAGAAGCTGCTGTTTAGCTTCCAGCACGTCTAAGAGCTGATTTTTAGCACCAGCTGGGTGGTATTTCTAATTACTGACCTTTGTTTTTCTGGAGCAGATTTTCCAGAGACACTGACAGTCTGATTTCTCTTTCTTCCCGTCTCTCTCTCTCTCCTTCCTCCTTCCGCCTCTCCCTTCAGTCGGCAGCACCTCTTCCTCACCAGCACTGTTAGGAATCAGAGACCCTCGCTCTGAATACGATAGGACCCAGCCACCTATGCAGTATTACAATAGCCAAGGGGATGCCACACACAAAGGCCTGTACCCTGGTAAGACGCCAGTTGGGTGTGTGATACAGTCTCTCGAAAAGCCGCGTTTCCAGGCTCTCAGCCAGTGGCCGGGGCAGTAGCCTGTGCTTGTATCGAGATGCCCCCCGCCCCCCCAGCAGCAAACCTTGTTCCAGTCAGTCTCTCCCTGTCCTACGTTGGAGATTGTTGCCTCTTCCAGTTGATTTAAATAAAATAAGCCAGTACTTGTATGTATGTATGTATGTATGGAGTTGTCTGGTGGCCACAAATAAAAAGAGGGCAGTATCCAAATGAGAAATCATTCCTGGCTGCTCGGTGGTGCAGTCCCTTTGCTCTGTCCCCTCCCTGCTCCAGCGTTCTCTCTCTGAGCTGGCCACAGGCACCAGAACCCTGAGCTCGGTGTGGCTTTGCAGGGGATACGTCTTCCAGACTGACTCATCTCTTAAATTCAAACCAGGGAATGGAGATCAGTGTCATTTACATTTTCATGGAAAGAAGTTTGAATGAATAGAAAAATATAATAATGTGATTCTCCTCGGAGTGATTATTTTTTAAGAATAACAAAAATAACGTTTCATAGTGTTAATATTTTTGTATCCTATTCAGGAAGCTGTGCATATAATTTATTTAAAGAATGCCAGCCCAAGGGTTACCAGGATTTCATATTGTCCCCATTCTCAACTCTCTGGCAAATTATAACTACTTTAGAGGTTTCAAATAAGTCAGTGTGAGCTACCCCCAAAAAAGTACTCTTTTCTCAAAAAAACCTCTTTATTAAAAATAAATAAATAAAAGCTGGTGGCAACTTAACTCCTACTGGGGGAGCAGTCTCAGTTGTGCTGTTGTCTTTGAAATTGTGATTTCACAGGACTATTTACTAATCGACTACTGTTACTATGGCAATTAATAGCTCAGAAAATTGCAGATGCTACAGTTCAGATACCACGCTCTGTGCAAAAGGAAATGCACATACAAACTGAAGTGCATGGTTGCTTCAGATTTGCAGCAGCCCGCTTTATGTTAAAGATCACCTCTTTAGCATGCACACCCTTCTGTATCTCCTTTGCTTGCTTCAATAAACTAATTTGCCTCGAGTACGTTTCATTTTCCTCATTAAAAAAAATAAAAATCTCTGCTAGCCTTAACAGTAATAGAAGGGTAACTAATGCCATCATCAGGAGTCTACTATGGACTTTTGAAGACATTGGGTCACTAAGTTCCTTTGTTTTAAAACATACTTAAATATGGCAGACACAAGCCTGTGCCTCCCTGTGGCCTGACTGCTTAGAACATGCCTGTTCCTGCTCTTTCCAGGACCTGGGATTTTGATCACAGCTACTGAGAAGGCACTGGGCTTGTTCTGATATTGTGTTTCCCTTCTCTGACTCATGGCTCTAGCTCAGAGCCCTGGAAAAGTGGTGCTCCTCAGCGCAGGACCTGTGCTGCAGTTGAAAGCCAGCTGGAGAAATCCTCCCAGGTGTGAGCAGAGCTTGAGAAGGAGCGCTTCTTGGATGAGCGCTGCACTGGCATTGCATTTTGGTGAAACGCACACAGCCTGTTTTTGCCATTAGCCCCCGCCAGCCCCGGCGTGCATAGCAGCCAGGCTAGACTCCGGGGACCCAGGCCCAGCCTCTCCCAGTCTGCACTGGCCCTGGGGAAGGCAGCGCCTGTCGGGAGCAGCGCCGGCCCTGGTGCAGGGGGAGACCACACAGCCTAATGGACCAGGGTAATGGGCACTGGTTTTAATTTCATACAATATTTTCTTACAGGCTCCAGCAAACCTTCACCAATTTACATCAGTTCCTATTCCTCACCAGCAAGAGAACAAAATAGACGGCTACAGGTGAATTTGCAATTTTGTTTTTACAGAAGGCCGGTTAGCAGTGACACAGTAAGGGGTCCACGGCATTTGACTTCCCAGTGCTGGGCCCACACGGCAGGGCCCAGGGAGCTTTCCCTGGGGTTCTTCACTCCCCAGAAATCCATCTGTGGTTTAAACAAAGCGCTTCCGCAGTAGCCTCATGTCCTTGATTGTCCACATCGGTGCTGCTGAGACCACCATGCCACTGCTGGGAGCAGATGAGGAGGATTTAGCTCATGGTCTTTGCCCAGCACTTTCCCTTTCCTGCTCTTTTTGTCTCTTAAGCTCCAAAATCTCTTCCATCCTCTGGGTGAGGAAGGGTTGCTAAGCACACTGCACTCTCATCTCACCGTTCTCTTTTTTGTATATCTCATTCTCCGTCTTCACGACTCCCTCCCTGTCCAGGCTCCGTGGTGTAAAAACACTGAGTCCACAGCCAGGTCTGTTCATCTCAGAGGTCAGAGTGGCCTGGGCCCCTGCTGGGGTGGACCCCACTCTACATAGTGGGACCTGGTGGTTGCCACACGCCCAGTCTCTGCTTTCATGAGGGGCTTGCGATCAGGTCCAAGTCCTTCCTGATCCCACGGCCAACCTAGGTCATCTGTTCTCTCCTCTTGCCTTTCAATGACACGAAGCAACTGGAGTTTCCCAAAATGAGATTGTATCCTGTCCTTCAGATAAGGATATTCTAAGACCCCTCTCCACTTGGTCTTTTCTCTGTAGATGGAAGAAAAAGAACTTCCCAAATTACTCATAATTTATGCTTGTAGTTTTTAGTCAGGAAAGAATAGCCTCGAAATCATAGCTCTAACTTGAAAAGAGAATTTAGCTCTGAAATCCTTATAAAGTTAGAATACATTTAGTTCTAGAACATGACATTGATTCCTATGTGGTTAATTTGTTACCTCTTACTTAGGAGAGGGATTTGGGCAGAAGCAAGAAGAAAGACAAACGTCAGAACCATGACAATTTGAAGGAATTGCTGTGGGGTCAAAACTAAGACAGTACAAATGGAAATGGGGAGTCCGGTGCCCTGTGTGGGTGCCGTTGTGTGCCCCTGGCCCTGCTTCCTTATAGAATGACTTGTCAGCCTCGGCTTGGGGAAGACTTTTCCTCTAGAATTGTATTTGCTCACATGTCTCTTCCAATTTTACTACTCTCCAGCCTTGAGATTGCTTATTCCTTTAATAGTACAACTAAGAGCAGAGTTTCCAAAGTGGACTCTTGTTCACCACACCACATATGTCTTTTAAAATTGAGGGATGGACTCAATGTTCCTTTCGCAGGTAAATATTTTAAAAGATGGTTCTGTAATTATGCAGTTATCCAGGGCCCCAAAATCCAATCCCCAACTAAATTCACAGAGTGCTAATGATTCCCCTGGGTCAAAGCAAAAATCAAGACCATCCTCTTTGGGCCCACACGGGTAACAGGCCCCTCGTCAGCCAGGGCCAGGGCCTGTGGGAGGGGGGTGAGGTAGCTGGGGGCCACCTGCCACCAAGATCTCAGGCTCTCCTGAGGCACTGACTTTGCTAGAAGTCTTAGAACAGGACTCAAGCAAACTCAGCAGCCTGCCTATAAATGTAGTTTAAAATCCTCACCATCCATTAGTAAACTGTACAGCGCATGCCAGAAACAACTTTTAACCTTAAGTCTGCAAGTATTGAATATTGCTTTAAAAACATGAAAGCAGGAAGCCTACATTAATTTTCCTTAAACATATATTTTAAGTTTTGCTTTTATTTATTTGCCTTTTCATTTTGTCAACAGCATCAACAGCTGTATTATAGTCAAGATGACTCCAACAGAAAGAACTTTGATGCATACAGATTGTATTTGCAGTCTCCTCATAGCTACGAAGACCCTTATTTTGATGACCGAGTTCACTTTCCAGCTTCTGCTGATTACTCGACACAGTATGGACTGAAATCGACCACAAATTACGTAGACTTTTATTCCACTAAACGACCTTCTTACAGAGCAGAACAGTACCCAGGGTCCCCAGACTCGTGGGTGTAGCATCACGACGCTCAGCAGAGGAACTCTTTCTCTCTAACGTCGTTCGGATTGAAGTGAAAAGTCGGTCTTGCTGATTTGATGATTGAAATGTGAAAGTGACATGGAAGGAACGCGTGAAGTGCATATATATTTTTTTTCTTTTTTGAGGAATTATCAGGGAAGTGAGGAAACCTTTGGGAGAGGACTTTCTAAGCTCTATTTAGGTGTTAGATCTAATTACTTGTAGATTCTGTAGTCTGGTGAAGGTGTGGGTGACGTGATGAGAGGTTTGAGAAACGGGTGAAATGAGACGGGGGATGTTTAGGTGAAATCAAATTAAAGATGATTTTTTTAATGTGAATAAAGTTATGTTCAGATAGTTTGTACAGAAAAAAAAATAATAAAATGGATGCCCTTCATGTTTTATTGCTATTACTAAATGTCAAGGTTGTATGCTATTATGTCTTGTAAATTTCTTTTGTTGGTGTAAATATGGAAATGCCACATTGGTTAAGTGCCATCATTTGTAATGCAGTGTGTCATTTGAAAAGAGATTCCAGGAAACTGACAGCTTAAAAAAACAAATGGGAAACCCCAGGAACTGTTAGCAACTACAAACAAACTATGACCTCCTCTGTTTTCACAATGAATAGCGTACACTTCGGAAGCACAAGGTCAGTCTGGTATAGCAGCGCCATGCCCATTCCCTGCCTCTTTCATGGGACACGTCACTGCCATTTTCTATGCACATGAAAGAAAAATAAATGTGGAAATTTCATCCTTGGAAATGTGTTCCCTATTCTTTTTTTAATTTTCTGTATGTGATACGGAAAAGCAGATCTAATAAACACAAATCTAACTGCATGTTAGAAACAGCTTAAACATATCCATTTTTGGATTTTTCCTAGTTTTATACACTTTGAGATGGACCACACCAAAGAACGAAGCTACGAACTCTCCTCCTCTTTAAGTATTTTTATTTCTTGGGATCTATTTTGAATCAAATGCACTTTACAGTGTTATCGTGCGTTGTTTGGGGGTTTTTTTCCTAGACTGCTATATGTACGTAACTACATAACACCCATTTTTACCTAAGAGAAGTTACATCGGGCAGCCTGGCCATAACTTAATTGACAAAGGCTCCTTTTGACACCATTTTAAAAAACTCAGTAACTACATAAGAACAATGGTTGATTATTTATTTGGTTTGCACCAATGTAATAAACCAAACAAATTCTAAATATCTTGCAGAATAATTCTGTGAGACACAGTAAGTCCTAGATTAGGAATGGGGGAGTGGGAGCCCCCCAGACAGGGTAGGCAGGGGTCCCGATGGCGCCCCACAGCATTGCTTGTGAATTTTTCTCCGTCTGTGTAGACAGTGAGGGGCACCTGTTTCCAGAGGCCCAAAGTCTGAAGCTTCCACCCTTGAGCCCCAGTTCCTGGATCTTCCGTGGAAAACTAGAAAAGAACCCACTTGGCAAACCAAACCCAGAGGTGTTCACTGAGCTCCGCATAGCCTGCAAGCATGACAGAAACCCCAGGTTAAAACATCCATACTTATATTTGTGAGTATATGCAAAGAGACCATCCCCTGCAGCGTGGACAGCAGCCCAAGACTAGGAGGCAAAGTGCAATGGAAACACAGGCGGAAGCGGAAAGATTCCTGACGTCTGCAAGTGGGGAGCCTTTGTGAGGTGCAGGCTTTTGGAAATGACATGTGAGCCCACCTGCAGAGTCGGACTGCCCAGCTCCCAAAAGCCCCGGCTGCCTCATGCCCGGGAGAGCAGGAACCAGCCCTCCTCAGGTGGCAGAGGCCGCGGGATTTCCCAAGGAACTGGCATCAGAACTTTTGAGATGTGTATACACCGTAGCTTTGAGTCACTGACTTCCCTGGAGCTTGTATTAACCTGCTTGTAACCAGAGCTTGTAACCCTGTCTGGGTTACAGCAGAAGGCCCTCGCTCAGGGAGTCCAAGCACAAAGGAATCTGGAACCAGCCAGAGCTGACTGACTTTCTTTCAGTGACCCCATTGGTTTTGGGGGTAACATAGGTCTCCCATTGTACCAGGCAGCATTACAAAAACAGATCCAAATCTGGATTGCAGAGAACTTCACTGTGGCCTCCAATCAGACCTAACGGAGCCAGGAAGAGGCCTGTGGGTGAGGACTGGGCAGGAGATCTGATTCCCTTTAAGGCCTCTCCCTTGTGACTGGAGAAACCTCAAACAGAGCCTGAATGATACAAAACTGCATCATCGATCAAAAAGCTTAGCCCATTGCCCCCCACCAAGGTGCTGGAATAAACAAGCTCTGCCAAAACAAAGTTGACTTTATTGCTGCCCTAATGGCACCAATAGCAGGCAAAATTCAGCCCACTTCCACCCCATCTTGGAGGGTCAGGGCTGAACTGAGCCCGTGTCTGCACCAGATGAGGTACCCAACCTGGCCACTCAGAGCCACAGAGGTGGAGTCCTAGGACCAATGTCCTTAAAAAGCTCCCCGGGTGATTGCAATGTGCAGTCAGGTGAGAGCTACCTGTGCTCACCGTTCTCCCTTACTCCCTTCATGTGATCTGAATATTTAGCAGCTGGGTTTTGGGGTGCCGCATTTGCCTGGAAGAGACGGATATATCTGGAGTGTTATTGAGCTCTTAAACTTGGAAAGTTAGATGTAAGGTTTTTCTTTTTGTTGGAGTATTTTTTTTTTTTTTGCCTATGCACTCTTGTTCAAGGTTATGGCCTTTGAAGCCTGTGGACATTAAATGAGCATCAAAAATGATAACCACACAGCCTCATAACTCTTCCCATCATTCGTCCCTGGCCAGTGTTTGGATATCCCCCGATTGCTAATTCTTGCACTGAAATACCAACAGTTCACTTTGCCGAGCGCTCTCTATGTTCTGATAATAGCACAGCAAATGTACGAAGTCTGCGCTAACATCCTGTTTTACAGGTTCTGAAGCACAATTGGAGAATAACTTGCTAACAATTGTACAGCCAGTAAATAGCCAAGGCAGGGTTAGGGTTACCGTCTGTCTTAGCCACAATGCCAGTGTTTTTCAAATTTAATAATTTGGGTTCCAATTGGACTTTACTAACATTTTTCATCGTCTTGAGTGTGCAAAAGGAAACACGGTCGCTACTCTAAAGGAGAAAACCATCATCACTTGCCATAAATAAAAGCCATAAAAAAAAAATGAACATTTAACTATTTAACATAGAAGTGTCTGTGTACCACCCGAATTCATCTAGTCTACCACAGCTGGGGTGACGTGAGCCGCATTTTGGGAAACTTGAGTCCTGACCATTCTGATGAGTCTGGTGATTTAGTTTAGTTAGGCTGAGAACTGCCCCTGCAAGAACCTGTGAGCTGTATCTGCTAATACAGGGCCACTAAAACAAGTCTGTCACTAGGCAATCCTCTCATTTGAGGCCTCAGCAATACCTTTGAAGGAACACATGTCTGAAACTATTGGGTAGTTGTTTTACTTCCATGATCAAACCAGATGACAAGGAAATAAACATTTGAAAATTTGGCCACTGCTGTTCACTTACTAGGTTTTTTAAGTAGCACTATTTATAACAGCATTATTCATTATAGCCAAAAATTAGAAACAACCCAAATCTCCAACAGAAGAATGAATAAACATTCCAAGTCAATGTCCAAGTTAAAAAAAAAAAGAAGAATGAATAAACAAAAAGTTTATCCAAGAATAGAAAACACTGTGGTATGTTCATGTACTAGAATACTACACAGCAATAAAAAGGCATAGATGCAATGACATGGATGAATCTCAAAAACATGTTGCTCAAAAGAAGGAAGAAATTGCACAAAAGAGTGCATGCCAAATGCTTCTAATTCAAGAACAGGAAAAACTCACGTTGATAGAAATCAGAGTCAAGGTTGCCTATAGCGGTGGGTATTGACTAGACAACTTTCGGGGATGGTAGAAATGTTTTATGTCTTGATGGGAGTGACAGTGACACAGGTGTATACATTCATCAAAATTCATAAACTTTGCATCTCACTGTATTTTTTTACCTCACAAAAATGAACACTTCAAGTCAGTAAAAAAATATCTAATGACATTGTCTGAGACTTATTAACTAGAACCAAAGTTCCAATTATAAGACTCCTCTGAGTTGAGAAAAATCCAATTCATATATTTCTAACCTAAACAAAACATCCACTTAGAGTAGTTTCCCACACACAAGATTTTATCACAAAATTCCTTTGTAGTTCTATATACAGGTCTATATATAAAAGCTGACAGCTTGCCTAGTTAAGTTTACTCAGAATTCTGGAAAACATGTACTTGAAAAGCATTCCATGGGAGTGTCCTTTTGGACGAGCTATGATTGCAGAGATTTATTTGCTAACAAGAAGGTAAGTTAAGAAGTAAAACTCAGGCTCATGTTTAAACGCAGTGCCGAGAGAGAGAAGCGTGTCGCCCCTTTTACCTAATGATCCAAAGAGATGTGTAAATAAATGCTGCACCCACCTAAGCGCCACCCAAGCCACAGGGGAGGAGTGTGGGAGCAGAGCCCTTTCGGCAAAGTACCAGAAAGGTGTTAGCAGAGAAACAAACAGGTCAGTGGAATGGGAGGCAGAGCAGCTAATGGAGTGTTTTCTACCCCTACAAATGCAGGCAGACTTTGAATGCAAAGAACTTTACTGCAGGTCAAGGGAATCTTTGCTGGAGAGGAAGCAAGCAGTCCTACTCTTAATTAACGTGCAACTGGAAAGGAAGTTGGGAGCAAGATGCGAACAATGCTTGGAATTCCACAGGGCCGCTGCCACCCGGATCCATATGCAGCTGCCCTTTTCTAGCCTGTGCCAAGGGCTGGGCTGGGCCTCAGAGGCCACGGGGCGGCCACGGGCTGCCACCCGGACAGAGGAACGCTTCTCAGCTGGGGCTGGTCTATTGTGTCTCCCTTTAGAGGGTCTTGGCTTTGGTCCCCAGCCTTATTCACTCTGCGGTAGCATTTGCCATTCACCCGGGTGATGGCTTGACTTGACTCAGTCTTTCTGAATGACCTTACTTGGGACAATCTTTAAAGGCTGCAGACACAGAAAGGAAATTATTAGCAAGCAAATTATGACTTGGATTGTGTCGGTTTCAGTGTGTTTCCCTGTTTTCATGTCAGCAACTTCACTGGAAGCAGCTGGCATGTCCCCTAAGTGGCTGTTTATTCCTATTGCTGTTGCCTAATTCTCACTTGAAATCACTAAAAAGCGTTTTGTGCTATCATAATCGTTTGCATGAGCCATAACTATCTCTTTCATTATTAAAACCTCATCCAGTGGTTGGGGGAATTTTGATAAAGACTTAACGATACGGTAGCCTAGTTCCACCGCCACGCATGTCCCAGTGATTCCTGGGCTGACCAAAGCATTGTCTTGGAAAATCAAATTAAACACAGCTTATGCTGGGTCAAAGGTGTAATCCTGAGATGGGTGGGAAAATACTCAGTTTTTCCTTCAGAAATCCCTTATAACAGTGAATTTATTCCCCAGAAGGCACGCCACCCCACCCCACCCCCGAAATGTGCCTTTATTTGCTGGCAATGAAATGTAATGTGTTTGGCTTCCCGTGCCTCAGGGAGCCGCCATCCGCAGAGTAATAATCTAATAAAATGACTTCAGGGAGGATGAAACCCCTCCAGCGTCTCTCTTTAAGATTCCTCCGAGTCGGTGGCGGTGCCAGCCCGATCCCGGGAGCTCTGTTCCTTTCCAGGTGTGAGAATGAGCGCGGTGAGGTGTGCCCAGCTTCCCGGGGACAGGAC